ACAGATTGTAATGAAACTTTCAGGCATTATTAAGCATTACTCAAGGATGGTATGCGTGAAGTTTGGTGCAGATCCGTCAAAAGGGCTCCGCCCCAGTGGCTCTGGAGTTTCCCATGTTAACCTTATTAGTACTCATAATTAAATGGAATTAAAGAATCTTATAACAGCTGGTTCAACTAAACAATTTGATTCTCTGATGTTCAAAAGCATTAATACCCCCGCCGCAGCAAACCTGCAGACTAAGCGAATTTCCATTTGACTGATTGGATTTACACTGAAATGTCTACTTAAAAATATAACATTTATTCTCTATTTAAATAGAATTAGTTTAACTAGTACTTAGGTTTGCTGCATCAGGGAGGGTAAAACTGTTTTTTTAAACGTTAATAGTTAGTAAGAAATAAAAACATTTTCCAAATTTGATCAAAATATGTTCATAAACAAGCAAACTACAACAATTTACTTATTCTCCATAAGAATAACATGGGAATTTTAAATTTACAATTTTTTGGAATTTTCTCCGTAACCATTAGGCGCATAATAACGCTTCAATATACTAAATTATTTGTTTTTTAAGCTCTACAAAATGGTTTGGAAAGATATTGCTAAATTTTATGTTTTTTGGGTCAAAAATGGGAAAAACCTATTTTTACCCCATAGAACCCCCCGTAAACCCCCGTTCCCATGGTCCGATCATGCTGGATCGCGAACTCGTTCGAATAAACGTAGGTTTACACGTTTGTACCAAATTTCATCAAAATCGGATCATTTTTGCTCGAGTTATCGTGCTAACGGACACACACATATATATATATACTAGCTGACCCGGCGAACTTCGTATCGCCTAAGTTATAGGTTTCCCCTAAGACAGACCGATGGAAAGAAAGTACCGTTACGTTTAATTTTCAAGATGATCTCGTTCGCATCGCTCAATCACGTCCTGGTTGAAGTTCGTTCGCTACGCTCACTCACCTTTGGGTTGGAGCTCGTTCGCTACGCTCACTCACCTTTAGGTTGGAGCTCGTTCGCTGCGCTCACTTGCCTTCAGGTTAGCTCGTTCGCTACGCTCACTCGCCTCCGGGTTGAAGTTCGTTCGCTACGCTCACTCACCTTTTGGTTGCAAATTAGCTGTTGTCATAAATGTAAAAGAAATAATAGTGCTGCACCCTGTTGGTAATCCTTGTAACTTTAATGCTATTGAACATCATAGAACAGAACCAACTTGTTTAATTGAAACAGCTGTTAAGATTCATTAATTCCATTTCTCATAAGGTTAACATGGGAAACTCCAGAGCCACTGGGGCGGAGCCCTTTTAAGAATTTCGAAACGGGAAATAGTTTACGTCCGATTCGCATACCTACAGAATTTACACACCAAATTTCATAACGATCGGTGAAGTCGTTCCGGAGGAGTTTGCAGACAAACACTGTGACACGAGAATTTTATATATTAGAATATATATATATATATACATATATAATATATATATGAATTTGAAAGGATGGTGTTTTTGGCCTCTAGGGACCTCAAAATGAAAAAAAAATCGGTCCCGCGTCCAGGTCTTACCATGCTACTACGGTGAAAGCTTTTACTACGGTAAAAGCTTATTCCCTATATGGGAAATTCGCTAAAAAGTTAATATGTTTACCAAAAGGGTGCTGCACTATTATTTTTTTAAATTTAAGAAAACAGCTAATTTGCAACCAAAAGGTGAGTGAGCGTAGCGAACGAACTTCAACCTGGAGGCAAGGTACCGTAGCGAACGAGCTAACCTGAAGGCAAGTGAGCGCCGCGAACGAGCTCCAACCTAAAGGTGAGTGAGCGTAGCGAACGAACTTCAACCAGGACGTGATTGAGCCATGCGAACAAGCTCATCTTGAAAATGAACAAGCATTTGACATAAAACGACATTAGGGCAGGACGACGTCTGTCGGGTCAGCTATAGTATATTATAAACATTCAATTTTTAAAATTACACAAAAATGAATCACTCACTTCAACACTTATTCACGCAATTGTATTTTGAAAAAAATCACAAACCAGAAAATTAAATGAAAATATATCTACTCACCCATTCAATAACGTACTACACTACGGCACATCCCGTATAACCTACATTGCTCATAATTTGCATTGAGTTGCGCTGGTCGCGCGTCCGTGAATATTATAAACAATGACACTACAATGTGGAGACGATTTTCGCAAATTCATTGTTCAACTGTTAACAAACTGTTGTTCCGATCAATAGTTGCGGAGTAAATAATGACTACCTTTGCAACAGGGACAAGGTAAAACTTTCGTTTGCAAATTTTCAAATTTGTAAGAGTATAAAAAAGATATTTGTCATAAAATGAATTCGAATGAAGATTGAATCATGTTTAATTATGATGAATGTTTGTTTGTTTTTTATTATTAAAACTGTAATATTATACTATAATAGTGGATATACAATGTCTGTATTACCATGAAGTGTATTACATTATACCATACCACACAGAAATAACTGATTATGTACAGCTAGATATATTATTTTATTTATTTCCTATTTAAATATAATTAGTTTAACGAGTACATAGGTTTGCTGCAACAGGGAGGGTAAAAAATGGGTCTTTGTAGTTTGTTTGTTTGTTTGAAGTTCAATCACGCATTAACTACTGGTCGGATTGTGTTGAAATTTGGTATGATTATAGCTCACATTCCCGATTAACATATAGACATATTCTTATCTCAAAAATCCTTTCGGGCCCCGCCCCTGCGGCTCTAGAGTTTCCCATGTTAACCTTATAAGTATTCATATTTAAAAGGAATTCAATAATTTTGCCAGCTGTTCCAACTACACAATTTGTTTCTATGATATTAAAAAGGTTATATGGTTTACCAACAGGGTGTAGCACTATTAGTTCTTTATACATTTATGACAAAAACTAATTTTAACCAAGCAGCAACAAAAACCTGTGGGAACTTTACTTCTTTCTATTGTTTATATGAAGTGGTAGAACATTATGGCTATATGAATATCATAAATATTATGGCTATAGGAATTAAGACTTACTTCCACTAGTCGTATAAAAAATTACTTATTGTACAAATTTAGATAATCCTTCAATTAATCAATAAGTACATACACTTATGTCCGGAAGTAATTCCAATCGTAAGTTGAGGCAAGCATTGGAATAGTAAAAATAAATATTATTTTAGTTCACGATTCATAAACGTTTAATATTATGAATTCCATTTTCTTAGAAACGCACACGTAAAAATATTGCCTCGCCTTTTATGAAATATAAATTTTACTCAGAATAAATTATATATTTATTTCGGAATCTGTTATGGAAATATTAAGTATATAATATGAATTCAGAGGATATTTAATCCTCATATCCAGGCAGTTATTATAAATTATTGAGTTCATTCAGATAGTCTTATTACAATGTCACTAGTTATTAATTTATAACGTGTATCTATACTTTCATTGCGGAAATATTCAATTATCTTTATACCTACGTTGCAACAAGCATATTGTGTCATATTTTAAGTAAACCACAAATATTCAAAATACTAAACAATTTACCAACGTGTTATTTCCCTCCTCTCTATTAATTTGTATTTTATAGTTTTTTTTTTATTTATCTAAATAGGTGTTACCCCTAAGAAACATTATTTAACATTATTCAATACAAATAAAAAAAAATTAAATATTTGGTGCATTTTATCTTTGAAAGAAACATTTATTTCTATAACTTAAAATTACCTTAAGAAAAGAAGTGTTCGACAGGTATAAACATTCTGATTTCATTCTTCATCTGAAGCAACATATTTAGCAATCGTGTCCTTGTGTAAGTTCAATTGAGTAACTTTTACTTACTCGTTGTTATTCAATTTTATGTTTCCAACATTCTAAAATATTTTGCAATATTAGATCCCTGACTTGTTATGCGGTTCCTCTGCGTAATGTGCGTAATATGCGTAATGTGCGTAATGTGCGTAATGTGCGTAATGTGCGTAATGTGCGTAATGTGTGTAATGTAGCCTACATTTAATGCGTAATGCAATGCAAAATGTAATGCGTAAGACAGTGGTTGCTTTTACACGGAAGTGCGTAGATGTAACGATTAGAATTAAAATGAAGAATTGAATATTCGCCATGTAGCTATGGTGCAGATATTCAGACGGTGAATTGCATAGTCAATGATTGCATCTTTCTACTACATCTCAGTTTTCTTTGATATACTAAGCAGAACTTAAAATATAGTCACTTTGTTTGGAGGTTTTTATACAATTGTATGATTTATAAAAAACACATAAGTGTATAAAATACATTTGAGCATTACGTTAGCACTTGTTTTATAAATTTGTATTTTTAGTATTACCGATATACAGAACTAGGGCTATGTCTATAATTGTAACTTAATTACGATTGTAGGCCTACATAGTTAAGGGAGTACACATTAGTTATGAAATGATTAAGGAGTGAACACGAAGTTGATGGAATACAGATATTTAGCACAACACGATTTACATATTTAGATTATAATTTCAGTCCCCTACTTTGATTAATATATACAGTTAGTCGGCGACGAAGAAAATCCATTTATAGTGAAAATATTTTGCAGAAAGTATTTTGTACAGAATTAATGATAAAAACTCTACTTAGTTCAACGCCCTGTTCTGTATAATTAATACAGGTCTACTTAAACGTAAATAACCGGGTATACAGTAATAGTGTGGAAGAGTTAGCTCCTTTTAAGAGTGAAAAGAAGAGTAACTTGAACTCTTTTAAAAATCATCGTTGTTGATTTATTTTAAAATTAAAATAAAATAAGACTACATATCTAAAAAAAAAAAAAAAACTTGTGGGGACTGAAGCATCTTGTTGTAACAACTGAGGAAAAAACTTCAACTTTGAACTTCAACTTTTGAAAAAAAAAAATTAAATGTAATTCTATATTTTTAAAGCATTTCCATTAATCAAATTCATTCAAAAATTAAAACCTCCTACCTGTGATAAAAGTGATGATTTGGACGCATCCACCGATTCTTCTTCCAAAGTTCTCTTTTGCTGTTGAGTCGAGTCCTTAGGTGATCTATTTTCGTAACTCTGGAGATAAAAGGTCAAAAAACTATTTCAACTTGCACCTCGCCTCACAATCGGATACACTGCGGACGTCAGGGTGTGAAAAGCGCGCGAAACTGGTCGAAAGAGCGGCAACCGGCGCTGGCGAGCGGAGGGAATGAGGAGGAATTGGCAAAGTTAAGTATTATCAGTCGCGGAAGAGGGGAGGGAGGGGGGAGTACGGATAAACAAAACAATAAAGGAATAAAGGCGGTCAAGAGGAGTACGAATTGCGCTCGCCTTGGTGTGGAGTGAGAAATTATGAAATGGTTACTAGAAATCTAGGCTATACTTTAAAATTTAAATGTTGAATATACGGATAAAAGTGTGCAAGTGTAAATCAACATTCAAGAATTACAAGTATAAAAAATGGTGTAAATATGAAATGAATGTTTCAGGGTAGTTTTTAAATATTTACAAACCTGATCGTAAAATTATATTTGACATCACTACCGTTTTGAACGTCCCATTGGACAAAAGGGTACTTTCCTGTTAAAGGGAACATTCATTATTATCGATGATTTTTCTCGATATATCGATATTAACAAATTGAAACATATCAGCTGACAACTACGCGATAAATATTGTTCAGTATCAACAAACAATAATGAAATTAAACTGTTCTAAAAAAATAACCTAACATAACTAACCAAACTTGCTATAACATTTAAAAATACCGTGTTTAACTTGTCTTTTCTATTATCAAACCCAAATGGAATTTTTTAATGGTCTAGCAAGTTTGGTTGGTTATGTTAGGTTAGCTTAGAATATTTTAGCCTAAACAAGATCAGTTAGTTGTTGTCAATTTGTAATGGATCGGAAAATAAAAATATCGATATATCGAAAAAAAAAATCATCGATAATAATGAATGTTACCTTTAACAGGAAAGTACAGAAAAATGTTAGAAAATACCACGGGTGAACTATCTGAAAAAAATTTGCCTCTTAACAGTTAAGGGATTTGCTCCTATAATATTTGTTTTCGTAACTTTTCAGATATAGCTAAAGATGTTTCATTTATTGTTTGGTTTAAATTCATCTTCAGAAATAAAAGTTAACATTATTAGTATTGGAATTTAAAACTACACATTGTTTAAGCATTGAACTTTGGCTAAAAAAGCTTTAGTTCCTGTAATGTTTAAATCTAAAACATTGATTTGTTGTGTATATGTTTCTTGTACGGTTTAACATGAGTAAGCTGATTTCTAGACTAAAATTCTCTATAATTTAAGGTATATGATAGCTTTGACTTTAAATTATTAAAATTTACTTTTGGTTAACAGAACAAACGAAGCATTCAAGCGTTATTGGATTGTCTTCAAGAGATGAATAAAATTATAAATAATTGGGAAAATATATACAATTTATAAATTGTGTTTTATAAAGGCAAAAATGAAAACATTCATGAAAACATCTTTTCTCAGCTTGTGTGCGTCGCAGGGGGTATGTATACTGTAGCAAACACATTTTCCTGTAGATGTGTAGAATCCCTTTATAAATTAAAATAGGCCCAAAAATAAGCCCAACAAAATTACCATATTAAAAAGTTAACATGGGCCTTATAGGTTGCCATGCTGGTGACGAAATAACAACGATATATAAACAGAAAATAAAAACAAAATTGAAGAAATTCCAATCACATGTTTCGTTTACGGCGTGGGGTGAAAATAGAGATGCCTGTATACATATTTTTGGTCGAGTTTTCAACCACTGGACTATTGTAGCTTCTTTGCCGTAATTCCATAACCTCAAACACAAACCTCTGACGCCATCTTCCGGAAACAAATTGCATCTAATTGGTACACCGAGAAACACAGAATTAATTTGAACAGGAAATGCAGCATTTGGCTGCAGCCGAACTGACACCTGACAACCATGGGATCTTACCTTGTAGTTTAACAAGTGAATTTTACATACAACTACATCGCCTCACGATGAATTGTGGGGAAATGTTAGTAGGAAACAAAAGTAACCACATGCTTGGTAGTTTCATCTTTACATAATTTCCTCTAAAACTCGGTATTATGGTCAATATTGTGTGTGAAATCTAGGTTTGTGATTGAGAGTTATTAAGATTATAGCATTGACATATCTACAGATTATATCTGCAGATATAAAGTCAATGATTGTAGTCCTATTGTGTGGATTGCTTCGGGGAATGGTTTATAGGTTTGTTTTGTACCATGAATGTTGGGAAAATAAAATACCCTCGTCGCAGCAACCTGCATACTAAGCGAATTTCGACATGTCTGATTACATTTTACTTAAATATTTCCATATACATATAATACATATTTATTCCGAATAACAGCAGATTTAACGAGTGCTTAGGTTTGCTACGGGGAAGGTAAAAAGTGTTTTTTGACCATTGGTAAATATTGTTAGGATGAAATAAATAAATTTTCCAATTTAAAAAAAATTGACTAATATTTTTAATGTGAAAGTTTGTTTGTTTGTTTGTTTGAAGTTCGATCAAGCATTAACTACTGGACGGATTAAGTTGAAATTTGGCATTGTGATAGCTCACATTCCCGATTAACATATAGGCATATTCTTATCTCAAAAATCCGTTGGAATTAATGAATTTAGTCAGCTGTTTCAACTAAAAAAGTTGATTCTATGATATGCAAAAGCATTAAAAAGCTATCAGATTTACCAACAGTGTGCAGCACAATTTTTTTTGCATTTATGAAAACAGCTAATTTGAACTAAGCAGCAACAAAAACTGTGATTCGCAATGAGAACTGTCAAAGTAGGATTGTTTACAGTTATGTTTATGTTTTTAATTTCATGAATAATTTGTGATATTTTGCGATTTTTTGATAATTTTTTCCTCTACTGTTTAGGTGAAGTGGTAGAACATTATGGCTATGGTAGATGTGTAATACTATAGAATACTGTAAATTTAAAAAAAGCAAATTTTATCAAACTGTGTGTTC